TATCGATTGGGAAGTTATAGCAGGTATAAATCATTTTTTTTTGTTAGCTTAGTTGACAACACGCATGCCTCATGTATATAAGAAAGTCGTTGGCTACACTATAAAAATGCAATTTGAATTTCAGTTAAAAATATTTCTGTTATTCTTTATAAACCAAATTCACTATATTTGGGTCCATTATAGCACTTTGAATAATTAAACTTGTTAATTATTTATGCTAAGTTATTGGGAGCATTACGAAAGCACACGAAAACAAATCAACAACAAAAAGGAAAGAAAAACATATCATATATCATACTTTATATCTCACGTTCTTCGTCTATTTCTAGCATCAACGTTTGATTAAGAAACTCAAATAAATAAATAAAATGCTAAATGGGCTTACTTACTTATATTGTAAATGCAAAAAAAAAGGTTTTATGATTACAATTTATAATAGTACGGAACACAAAATCCGATTATGCAATCTTTCTTATATGCAAAAATGACAGGTCCCTGCTCAATCAAAAACAAAAATTACGTGGATATTCTTTTCATTTCTTTACTATTTTACATTCAACTTGTTACTCTCGGATTGATTTTCAAAAACAAAAATTACGTGTAATTACACTTTGACATTCTTTTCATTTCTTTACCATTTTTCATTCAATTTGTTACTCTCAGCTTGATTTTCTTCATAATAATAGAAACACATGTTTCATATTCAATTTGTTACTCTCACATTGATTTTCTTCATAAAAGTAGAAAACATAAAACAAACGCCATTTCTAAGATTCTAAGGCAAGAATACTCTCCACTATATTACATTGAATTTAATGTTACTTTTGCAACTTAATATTTACTTAAGACTATGTTTCTTAATTTTTGATATTTTAAATTTTCATAATTGAATACTATATACTAATAATTAAAAACACGGACAATTTCTGTACTTTTCATATTTAGTCGAATCAATCCCTTATTTTAATGTGAATGAAAACCATAAAGTCAATTCCTCTGCTTCCATTCAAACCAAATATGGATTATTAATCCAATTAGGTCATTACATGTTATTAATTAGTTTGGAAGCTAGATGAAGGGGCTCAAATCATCTTTAATTAGAAGTTGAGTGTTTGATTTGATTCAATTTAAAATAAAAAATTTGACTGAAATAAAGGTAATTAGTGGAGGGACAATGCATGATTTGTTCCTCCAGGATTACTTGATTTCTGATTTTAGAGTCAACGATAAATTAATCTTAGTGATTAAATAAAACTAACTAATTGGTTCTCTCATGATTTCACAAACTATAAATTTAAACCTTATGATTTTAAATTCCTTTTATACTTGTCAATTTCATTTTCTTCTTCACTTTGTTTTTCAGAAATGAAAAAAGAAAAAATAAGTTTAAAATGGAATTTTTTAAATCAGGGAAAAAAAACTATCAAATTGAGATTAGAAAATGGAGTAATTTAATTATAGAGATTTTATTTAGTTCGACATACCATATGAGCTAAGTTATAATTACTCTTGATTTAAAACTATTCCTTCTGGGAAAAAAAAATTTAGAGAGAGGTTACTTGCAATAAAAAAGAAAGAAGAAGGTATTTTATAATACCTCATTTGGTTTCAACAAACGAAAAGGACTAATTTATAATTTGTTGTTGCTTTTAGCGGCCGCCAATTCTCGATCCCTTTTTTCTTGAGTTGGAGATCCAACACCAAACCACAAGACCCAAGGAGAATTGGCACTACCGATTGCTTTAATTTAAAATGAAATAACTACCATCGTTCCTTTCAACTCTCCAAGAACTAGAGCTGCATTTGTGAGTATGGCAACTTTAACTCCCGTATCCATTCTTCGAGAAAAATGAAAGGCTTTCAAAGGAAAAAAATTAAATTAAATTAAACGACAAACCCCATCTTATAGACAAATCTTTATTATTTGAACCGGGAAAAGATTCAATAGTAGTAGCGTAGCTCATATGGTAATTAATGTCATTAGATTTTAGATTTAATGATAAATTGATCTCAGTGATTCAGTAAAACTAAGTAATTAGTCCTCTCATGATTTCACAAACTATAAATTTAGTTCTTATGATTTTAAGTCCATCTTATACTTAGTGTTTTCGTTAATTTAATGTTCTTTAACTTTTCTCTCTCTCTCTCTCTCTTTTTGTTTTGTTTTGTTTGAGAAATAGAAAAAAGGAGGAAAGCATATAATGGAAAATTTAAATGAAGTAAGAAGGCATTTTTAGAAGTTAAAAAAAAAACTATAAATTGATCATGAATAATATTAAAAAATGAATTAATTAAATTATTTTTATACCATATAGATTGATTATTTAGTTCGACATACCATATGAATCAAGTTATAATTATTCTTGATTTTAAATTATACCTTATGAAAAGAGATAAGAATTTTAGAGAGAGGTTGCACTAAAAAGTAATAAGAAGGTATTTTATAATACCTCATTTGGTTTCAAGAAACTAAAGGGACTACTTTATAATTTACTCATGCTGCTACCAATTCTCGAACCCTTGTTTTTAGGATTGGAAAACCAACACCGAACCACTAGACCCAAGGAGAATTGGTGTGAATGGTTGCTTAATTTAAATTAACTAACTGATGCCATCTTTCATTTCAACCCTCCAAGGACTAAAGCGGCATTTGTGAATAGCGCAACTTTAACACGTACCATATCCATTCTTTGGGGTGGTGGGGCGGATGAGAGGTTTTCGAAGTAAAAAATAATTTAAAATTACATGACAAACCCTATCTTTTACGCAAATCTTTATTATTTGAACCTGGAAAAGATGCAAGATCATAGCTTGACTTCAGTTGTAACAGATAGAATTAAAACCGGAAGAATGCAACTAAAGCTTTTCGATGCCTTCTATGTTTATTTTTTCCCATATAATATACATGTAAGCGGACATACAAATTTTCTACGATGCATTAAATTCAAAAGTTTTCAGTAAGAAGTGTTATGCTCAAGCAAATTCAATGGACTAATCTCCAACAGGCCGAAAGACTTGACAATTAATATTTTTCCAAAACTCCAAAAAGGTGACCTTTTAATTTCTAAGCAAGAGAAGAGCAAACGATCTCCGGATCAGCTATTATATTATGGCATCCTCTTGATAACAATAGGATATATATATAGTGCCATCTTGACGTCACCTTTGATTGTGTGGGTAAAGGACACAGCAACCACTGCGAAATGAGACATTACTGGTGACATGGCCTAATGCATGATAGACAGAAACAGGGAAGCAACAGCTTCAGGAGACTTGGGTTCATAGGCCGCACCCAACACACAGCAATCAAATAATGCTTTATAAGGACAATCCATGTTTCCTCACAGATATTACCCCTGAAGACCAGAGACTTATCGAAGATCAATCAATCACCATCTATGCACATCAGGTAATCAAAATCTGTTAATAAAACATAATCATCTTCCCTAAATCAGCCACACATAAAGTGGCAATAACCAAACCATCGTATGTGTGTCGAATACACCAAGTTTAATTTATTACTGTTCTTATCGATTTTTGTAGAGATGACAAGTTCAGGTCAAATCCTACAAACTGCATTATCAACTCTATTAACTTATATTAAAAGATGTGTTTTGTTGTATGCTGAAATTATAATTAAGCGGAAAGTAAAAATAGAGAAACTTCAAATAAAAAAAGACTTTAATTCAAGAGAATTTTCAAATATTTAAATTACAAATTGTGCATAGACATCTAAATTACTATCATCTCATTAAATACTTAACCTACATTTACCCGTATCCTAGAATAAAACCTAACCTTCGGCATTTATTAACTCAAAGGACCTTTTATGAATTAAATTTTTATTAGTAATTGACTTCAATATTAATCGATCCTTAATCAAATCAATGATAGCATTACAAATTAGAAAGATAACTGAAATTGAATAACACGAATTAACAAGATAGATAAGATTGAATAACAATGTAGGACCCTAAAATAATTTAATTCATTTTCTTGTTTCTCTTGGTTAATCAAAACTAATTTGCTATCTATACTAATTTTTTATAACAATTACAGATTAAGAAAGTTACTTTGCTATCAATCACAATAAATAATCAACAAATAAGCCTCTTAGATAATTATCCATGCAATCATGATTAATTTAATTCGGAGATCAATTAATTAAGTTCGAAATGTAATCGATACTCAAATCATTAAGAGTAATTTAAAGATCAAACTCATGTCTCAAAATTATTTGTAAATTGAAACTAAAATCTCTTGAACTCAATTAAAATAATTTAGCCGGATATTGTTTGAAACATAAATCTCTAAATTATGTAAAGAATAATATAACTCTATTGGACGATCTTAAAGACTATTTATACATATAAAGAGATAAAATATGACAATTAACAAAATCCTATTTAACCTTGTTTTTGAAATTAATTAGGATTTGTTGCTGAATAGAACTAGAATAGATTATGTGCTGAAACTTCTTTAGTTCGACATACCATATGAACTAAGTTATAATTATTCTTGATGTTAAATTATACCTTATGAAAAGCGAAAAGATTTTTAAAGAGAGGCTGCAATAACAAAAAAGAAGGTACTTTATAATACCTTATTTGCTTTCAAGAAACGAAAGAGACTAATTTATAATTTACTCATGTTGCTACCAATTCTCGATCCCTTGTTTCTTGGATTGGAAAACCAACACCTAACCACAACACCCAAGAAGAAATGGTGCGAGTGGTTGCATTACTTTAAATATCTAATGGTCTACTCTTATATTTTTATAATCCCCTGTCCCATAGAATATACGTGTAAGCAAGCATACAGATTTTCGAAGAAGCATTACATTCAAAAGTTTTCAGTAAGAAGTGTTATGCTCAAGCAAATTCAATGGACTAATGTCCAACAGGCCGAAAGACTTGACAATTAATATTTTTCCAAAACTCCAAAAAGGGGACCTTTTAATTTCTAAGCAAGTGAAGAGCGAACGGTCTCCGGATCAGCAATTATGGCATCCTCTTGGTACCAATAGGAAATAATTTTTTTGGACAATACAGTGCCATCTTGACGTCACCTTTGATTGTGTGGGTAAAGAACATAACAACCGCTGCGAATGATGCATTACTGGTCACATGGCCTAATGGAGGACAGACAGCAACAGAAATCAACAGCTCCAGGAGATTTGAGTCCATAGGCTGCCCGCAACACACAACAATAAAATAATGCATTATAAGATGTTTCCTCACAGATACAGTAACCCTGAAGACCAGAGACTTATCCAAGATCAATCACCATCTTTACACATGACAAGCTACGTATTAGGTAATCATAATTAAACTGTTAATAAAAAGTAATCATCTTCACTAAGTGGCAATAACCAAACCATCCCGTCTTAGAACAAGAAATAGGCATTAAAATAGGTTTAACTTACCACATGAAGGAGAAAAAACCGGTAACAAGAGCCGGATACTTGTCAAAAACCCCAACCGGAGCGACCTTCCCATCCCTGCAAAAACACCGAGTCAGAATCAGACACGGAACGAGTCCACCGAGTCAGAACGGATGAAACGGACCTCATCCGAAGGAATCACTTCCTCCCGACGGAGAAGAAGCCGGTGTCATTACCGGTCGGAGAATCTCTTTCCTTGAGGTCACCAGAGAAAATGATTTTAGAAGCAGTGATGACAGTAGTTGTCTTCCCAACATCAGATTCCTGCCTTCACCGACTGCTACGATCCGCAGTTTGATCGAGGTTAAGCTGCAGCTAGTGTTGTTGTGGCTCTCTAGGAGTGTCTTACCCACATGAGCGATGGTGAGGATACGTGACAAGACGCATGACTCCATGGCTGAACTGAGAAGTGGGAGGGGGATGTGATATTGGTTTAAAACACAATTTCAAATTTTCACATAAAAATGCAAATTAAACCTTAAGAAAATACTAGCTAACCCGAAAAATCAAAATTATAATTTCCAGATCCTTACCATTTACCCACACTTTAGATTGAATCAAAATTTATAAAATTTCCACAATTTCATTGTGTATTATTTCTTTTGTACATTGTTGGGTTTATATATATATATATATATATATATATATATATATATATATATATATATATATATTCATTAAATTGAAATTTTAAATTATGAAAAATTTGAATTTTTTTTGTGTAATAATATTTTTCTAATGTACTATTTCTTTAAAACACAAATTTGAATAAAATTTAAATGCCATCTTTTAATTAACATTTAACGTAATCGAGTTGACACTTTTGAGAGGAATTTTAATGGAAGGGTAACTTTAAAATTGTTAGGTTAGATTGACGGTTGGGTTGATTTAACCAATTGATGAAGGGTAATTTTTCGGCTGGCTTTTGGCTTTTTTTTTTTTTTTTTTTTTTTTTTGGGTCTGGGCTGCTGACAAGGACTGGTTACTGTAGCATATTTTCTTTCTTTCTTTTTTGTTTTTAGGTCTGGGCTACTGGCAAGGATTAGTTACTGCAGCATTAATTTCTTCTTGTTTTTTTTTTTTTTCTTTTCAGCTAGGCTGTTGCTAACTGAGAAAAGAAAGAAGGGTTGATGATGGCAGCTGTTCCCTTCTATATAAATAATTTATTTTTATATTTTTTTATTAAGAAATTAGGTGTGAAAATATTATTTTTTTAGTTTTATGTATAATTTGATGATAATAGAATATATGTGATTTTTTAAAAAAAACATTTAGTTTGAACATATATATATATCTGATTATATAATTTTTATTATTTAATATTTATTTCTTCAATTATTTGTTTTTTATTAAAATTATCATCGAGTTAATTTTTAAATTTTATATAATTTCATTTGTTAATAAATTTGATTTTTTTATATGGCTTTTGAAATAAAATTTTAAATCATGATTATTTTATTTTTTAAAATATATTATTATAATTTATACAATTGATTATTTTTATGATTTTTAAATGAAAATAGTGTAGTTGCATGTATGAATTCCGATGAGAAAGGGAGAGCTAAAAATGTGTTTTGAATAATTTGTCTTTATTTTTTAAAAAATAATAATTAGCTAAAAAATTAATTTGACTTAGTTTTTTTTTAATTAATAATTAATTAAAAAAATTCACAAGTTTTATTTGATTATGTATATATATATATATATATATATATATATGAACTAGAATTTATCAAAACCAATTTTATAGTAGTTTTTATTTAAATTTATTCGTTTCGATATACTCTATGCGATTTAAGTGAGTTTTTATATATTTTTTATTTATTTTATATATTCTGAACTCGCTAAGTACAATATATATATAGTTTTGTCATATATAAATTCTAATGAGAGGGAGAGAGAGAGAGAACTAAAAGTGTGTTTTAGATCATTTGACTTACTTTTTTAAAAAATAATAATCAATTAAAAAATAATTTGGCTTATTTTTTTAAATAATAATTAGTTAAAAAATTCATAGGTTTTATTTGGTGTTATATAGATATCTATATGTATAGTTTTGCTAGAAATTAATTATATTTGCACACATAACACCAATTATTTGTTATTTATTTTTTTCATGTTCTTAAATCTGTATTTTTAAATAAAATAATTTAATTAATATTTTGAAAGAACCTCTTAATTATTCAAATATAAATTTTTATACTAATATTATAAATTATTTTGTTAATAAATATATATAAATCAAATAAATTTGCTGAATGTATACATTAAATCTACATTAATCTTCGAAAACAAAACATATACTCCCATCACACCATTCGAATTGTCAATTTTGTATATATAATGGTTGTCTAACCGCATCATAACTCGGATATCTAACTAGTAACTACTAAACAAGTTAGAGGTGTTTTTGGGTTTATTGGTAAATTTTACTCTCATTCTATTGCGATTTGATAATTTCGGACCTATAATATCAAATTATGTAATTTGAACCTTAAAGTATTGGAGATTGGGCAAATGTGATTCAAACTTGCTCGAACTTCATTATGTATAACGGTCAACTTGGTTGATCTGTTATTTAAAATACCAAAATGATGTCGCTTTGGCATTCGTTATTAATTATTAAAAAAAAATATTTTAACCCTCTTATCTTGCACTTAAAAGAAAAAAAATCTTATAAAATATTATATTTTATAAATTATATAAAAAAATATGTTTTATAAATATTTTTAACCCTCTAATTCTGAACTTTTTAATTTTTTTTTTATAAAATGTTATTGTAAAAAAAATTAACAATACATAATTTCAAGCCTTAAAAAAATATTTAATAAATTAAAATGAGCATAATTAAAGGTTGACCCCCTAATTTTATAAATTATAAAAAAATTATAAAATGTTTATAATATTTTATAAAAGACAAAAAAGTTCAAAATTAGAAAGGGTTAAAAATATTTATAAAATATTTTATATATATAATTTACAAAATATTTATAATATTTTATAAAAAAAAGTATAAAAAAGGTTCAAAATTAAGAGATTAAAATAACATTGTTTTGGCATTTCAACGGCCAACTAAATTGATCGTTACACATAACAAAAATTGACATAACAAAGATTGAACAATTTGGATCACATTTGCGAAATCTCTAATAATTTGAGAGTTCAAATTATGAGATTTAATACTATAAAACTGAAATTACCAAATCGCAATAGAATGGGAGCAAAATTTACCATTAAACTTTTTTTTTCTTTTTGTGGTTATGATTGAGAGTTTTATGTCGTCTACCTCTTCTCTTTTCCATGTAAGTACACTAATGCTTTTTAATTAAGATTGTACTTAGTAATGTTTTTAGAAGTGTTTTTTTTTTTTTAAAAAAAATAAGTTTAGACTCTTAGGCGTTTTTGAATGGTTTGATTTATTGATATTAAAAACATAAAAAAAAGGTTGAGAATGGAAGAAAGATGTTTGTTCATTAAATAAGGAAAAAAAAACTGCCGTAGTCTTTAAAACGTACATTCCATGGTATAAATTACTGTTTCAAAATAATAACTTATACATCTTCTTTTTTTTAAAAAAAAATTTCTTTTTAAAAAACTATTTTATTAAAAAATAATCTAACGATCTATCCTCTCTTTTTTTTTTTAAACATCATAAGGGCATGCAGAAATGAAAAAAATTAAGCAGCCCAAGAGTAAAAATCATAACTTCTTATACCAAGAGTCAAAATCATAACTTCTTATAATCATACAACTAGACCAAATGCCTTGCAACAGATGAAAAGATGTCATCAACCTTCATTTCATTGTACTCCAGCGTAGAATCAAGTGCATGTTCCAAAATTTCATTGACGCGATTGCCTATTTTGGGTTAGCTCAATTTTTCTAGTTGCGAGAGTTCCAAAAACACAATGAATTTTAGTTGCCAAATGAAACAAGGCAAAGCAAGTGCAGCAAGTAAAAAAGAGTTTGTCAATGAATAAAGTTATGGGTCTGTCCGTATTAGCCAACAAAAATGAAACAAAAAAGTTATGGGTCTATCGGTATGAACCTAAAAAGTTTGAAGAGAAAACCCACCTGAGGAAATTGATAGTCTGATTGTGTTCCCACCCACACGCCTTTACTATTTATTTAACTGGATTTTCAAAATCTGCGTATGTGTTTTAATGAACTAGATGATGATGGGTTGGTGATAATGGGCTGCAGTGGTTTGAGAGGAAGGTAGAGAGAGAGAAGGGAACCAGAGAGAGGCTCTTGATGATGACGACGAGGGGGTTTGGTCTTTTTAAATTTTTTTATTAATTTATTATTAAAATCCGTTTTTATTTTTATTTTTTTTAACTCAGATACAAACATTATATTTTGAGATTCAAGAAGATCTGAAAAAATAAAAATCTAAGAGTAAAAAATTTTAATCAAATTAAAAAAAAAGATATTAATTAAAAAAATTGAAGAGTTCAGAACCAATGTGGGATAAACTCTTTTTTTTTAAAGGAAAAAAAAAAGGGCTAATTTGACTCGGAGAAAGTACAAGATAATGAAGTTGTTTATCTTTCTTTTTTCTCTTTTCTTACGGGATAGAGCCAGAGTGATTGAACGTTTCTTTGAGGCTTTTCTTGTTATAAACTCACTCTTTAGAGACCAAATTCAGTATTTCACTATATTTAGTCCCATCATAGCAATTTGAGTAATTGAACTTGTTAATTATATACGCTGAGTTATTGGGAGCAATAGGAAAGCACACGTGAAAACAAATTAACAATTTTCACCATCACATTAGAGATCAAGTTCACAATAGGTCTTTGTTCCAACTTTTTTAACTTCCATTCCAAACTTATTTGATCCCTGCTTCTACATGTATAAGCAAAAATCAGTTAATATAATTGTTTCTTTGGGGATGCTCATAATAATACCTTTACTTTCCTACTTCGAAAAAAAATAAAAAAATAAAAAGGAATGATCTCCTTCTAACTTGGTAAGGTTCGTCCTTTAATTTGATTCTTGCTAATCAACTCAAAATTAAAAGGACTAAAACTCTAATAAATAAATAAACTAATAAATGAGTCTTAGCTGAGCCTACCTATGTTGCAAATGTAGAAAAAGACACGTAATCTCAGGATGATAATATGTGATATTAGTATGGAACGCAACATCTCGTTTCTGCATTATTTCATGTACGCAGAGATGACAGCTCCTCCTCGATAAGAAACAAGAGTTGCATGTAATCACGGGTATCTTCTTCACTGTTTTAATATTTTTTTCATTCCTTTACTGTTTTATATTCCATTTGTTACTCTCTCTAACTGATGTTCAAGGACTAAAACTCTTAACAAATAAACAAACTGCTAAATGGGCCTTAGCTGAGCCTATTTATTTTCCAAATGCGAAAAAAAGAGAC